TGACTGAACTCAGGGCGTGCTATCCAGACTAACGTGTTTCAAGGGTACTTCTCCCCAGATGTGACTGAACCCAGGGCGTGCTACCCAAACTAACGTGTTTCAAGGGTACTTCTCCCTCCGGCATAAGAACCTTTCTCTGACTCGCTCCGACTTTTAATAACAATGTCTGGGAAATAATGTTCCAGGTTCTTTTCCCATCTCCCGACCACAATTTGGGAAGCCGGGGCCACAACACGGTGACTAGGAATACAGCACCTAACAGTTCGCCCATCGCGACTCATTTCACTGAGAATCCCTGTCCTGTTGAGGTAATCCAGCTCATGTCAAACCTGTGGACTACGTTTCCTGTAATCCTAGGCACTCATACACAGCAGCTGACACCCTGTTCATTCAGCGTACGAATAATCCGTCATGTGAATTCCAATACAGTTTTCTGACTTTAAAATTATTGTATAAACAGAATGCGAGTGTTCGTCTTTGTATACCGAGACAGACGGACGACGTAATTAATTCAATCCAATTTAAACTCCATGAATTTTCATACACACGACTTAAAGTATGTTTAATGTTCCTCCCAAAAATTAATTCCAACTAGAAAGGGAAAAAAAACATTGGCAACTAGCATTTGATTCCATAGAATTTATCATAAGTGGTTCAAGTCATTCAGCTCTAGAGCATCATTCTAAAACATTTGTGGCTTCAGTTGGAATTATCAACACAGATATGAATTTAGAGGTTCAAGTGAGGTGGCAGCCCTAATTCACCTAAGTGGCTCACAAGCGACGCAGTCTCCAAAGCTCCAATCAATGAACTCGTCCTTCCAATTTCCTAAATTGTGTTTAAACGATCACAATTTACAGTAAGTTCTGCCGCAACGGCGTTATAAATTTATCCTTTTCCAGTTATCTCCAAGGGCATTTATTTCATATTTTGAGGACACAGCATAGTATTTTATAAGAGTTGCAGGCAATGTAATTTAGAGAAAGCAGCAACAGCCCAATTTTCTAGTTTCAATAGCCCACCACGATTAAGTGGTTAAATATCTAAGTGCAGTGTACTCGCCTGAACGCGGATTTTGGGCCGTTATTTACTTGGAACTGCAGTAACAAATCAACATTATAGGCCTACTGCGGACAGATTAAATTTACAAAATGCTCCCCATCATTCTGTTAAGAATGTGTAACCTTCCCGTAAGCTTGCCCTATATAAAAAAGTAGATTAAAATACACAAAACTATAATTATGTGTGCTGTGGGATTTGAGGTTATGACGGCGCCGAGCACGAAGAAGAATGTCTGCTTGGATGTCCCGCCGTACAATCCGACAGAACTTTACCGGCATGTATAAAGTGTGAAGAGGTCGAGATAGAATTATTAGATCAGGCTTTTGTGAACACGGCAATGAGCTTTTAATTACGAAATTGTAATTTCTTTACCAACCGTCAACTTCCCTGCACGACGTGTCATGGTGGTCTTTACCATGACCGAAGAACAAGCGCCTTGATATGGTTGAACCGCTTCCACAGACCCATGTGCTGAGAGAACAAGCATGTCTGTCTTCTACCATTCAACCGTACAAGACCCAGATTCAAGATCATCACACACAATGCCCGCGAGCGACGGTCAAACTGTCTAGACCAGTAGTTGGAATCTCAAATAGCACTCCTGAGCTGAATTACCCTCGAGCACACCTTAATTTTAGAAACTCGAAAACGCTGCTGTGCCCCGAGGCGCAGCACACAAACTACTGCGAAGAAACTGCTGAGAGGACCGTGATCCGAGCAACATGGGCATAACGCCACGACGTTTCGTCTACCTTCTTGTCTATGACGTTGAGCGGTCGCATTCGTACTTCTGTTTTGTTCAGACCATATTCGGAGGAAATATACGGGTTTATTTAATTTTTGTTAGAGTATTTCGTTACACTGTTTCAGCTATATTACGATATCGTTCACCCACGAACTGACAAGGGATCCGTTTCATATACGAACATTATTTTGGTGAGGAAAGGCCGAAGATGAGATGGGAGGATGCCATGAAGACAGATCGTAAGGAAACAGGTCGCGAGGATGAAAGGTGAATGTAAAAGACTAAAGATCAAGCCCATTGATCGGCCTCGGTATTAGTGATGTTGCACCTTCGGGCTACACTGCCAGAACTCTAGTTCTCAGAAAAGCGACGAGGCATGTAGGATAGGTCGGTCTTTCACGCAGCGCTCATTTATGGTTGTCTCGACCCTTTCCCGTAGATCTTTGTTCCGAAAATTAACAATTTCACAGGAAGTTGCTCCAAAAGCACACGTTCCATATCAGTGTAAGGAATCAATGAACGCGATAAATACGTGTTACAGACAGTGGGCAAATGCCCCGGGCGAGGCTGCGCCCAATTTCTGGCACATCCACTACCACATGACGCGGCCCGGTAAAGGGTATTATAACGCCAGTTCACAGCTACACGTACCTTCATCCATCTAATGAAGTTAACATCAACCCGTTCACATATTTAATCACCGCAACTACCGAATGCTGTCAGTAAAGTAATGGGCTACGGGCTGGACAACCGAGGTTCGATTCCCGGCAGGGCACGGTTTTTGTTTACCACAAGGTCCAAACCGAATGGGACCAATATAGCCTCATCTCCAGTGTGCACCAGGGTTCCTTCAACCAATTTAACCCATCTCAATTTCGCAGCCCTGATAGTATCTAATGAAGTGTACAAATAATGCCTCTGAAATTCCCCTAAACGCTCAGCTTTCCAACTCCCTCAACCTGCATTTTGTTTAGAGAAATGTACTTAGGCGAGTCGCACGGAAACCCGAGCACAAACCTCACACTGACCGTTTAGTGTATGAAATGCATGAGCAAAGCTGTGTGCTGATCCCCCACACTGGGTCTCGCTCACTCTTATAAGCGCCTCTCCTGACTGATTCAAGGACTTGTCTCCAATGAACAAGTTACATCGCACAGATCGAGGTGGGAAAAATGGTGGAAGGAGGCGGTCGTGGCCTACGTGTAGGCGTTACTAGGCAATCGGCCCCTCAGTCACTGCAACTAAATTAGGCTACATGGGATGGTGTGTACTGTGCAGTTGATACATGTTTACATACCCCACGAAATTGACGGGAATGTTTGCGTCACATGTTTACATACGCCACGAAATTGACGGGAATGTTTGCGTCACACCGAGAACTGGTACAGTAACGTGGAGCTGACAGTTATTTTTATGGTGACTTGGGAGGTGCAAGGCGCTCCCCGGATCGATCTTACCGAAGGATTCTACTGTGCCTTAAAACTGTGGAGTAAGAAACAACACTAGGGCTGACAGAGGACTGGCAGGTGGGAGAGGGTGAACAAACAAGGATTAACTGATGGATGAACGGACAGAAATATAAACCGGCGGGGAGATGAACGGACACACTGATAAATGGATGGACATCCAGACCAAATGATAGATACATGGACATTTAGACTAGATAATTGGATGAATAGACAAGCAGACATGTATAGACAGACAACTGACCTCCAGGTCAACAAGGGAAGCTGTAACTACCAAAGCCCCCCACTGGACCCTGTCCTGGGCCAACAAAATCCAGTCTCCTTCAACTCCTATCTCCCATAGATCCCACTTGATTTTTTCCTCCCATCTACATCTAGGTCTCCCCAGCAGTCTATTCCCTTCAGGCTTCTCGACCAATGGTGCACACCTCTTGCCCCATCCATGCATGCCACATGCCCAGCCAAATATAATTCTTCTTGACATAATCACCCTGACAATATTGGGGGAGGGATACAAATTCTTAAGCTCATCATTATGCAGTTTTCTCCACATCCCATCCTCTTCTCTCCTAGGCCTAAATATCCTTCTCAACACCCTGTTCTCAAACACCTGCAATCTGTGTTCCTCCCTCAGAGTGAGAGACCATGTTTTGCACCCATACAAAACAACAGGCAATTTTTTTTGTATATTTTAATCTTCAGGTTCTTAGAAAGCAGAAGGGAAGACAAAATATTTTGAACAGAGAAGTAGCAAGCATTTCTGGAATTTAGTCTCCTCCTAACTTCCTCATGAATATCATTTTGATTTGTTATTGTTGTTCCTAAATATTTGAACTTTCAGAGGATTTATTAGCCACCGAGAATAACACTGAAATGGATCTTGAGGACATAGGGTACGAGGCGTAGACTGGATATGGATCAGGACAGGGGCCTTTAGGGAGTTCTTCTGAACATAGTAATGAAACTTTTGCTTCCATAAAAGGCAGGGAATTTCATCATACATGAGTGACTTAAATTTTCAAAAAAGGGCTCCCTAACATTAAAAGCTGTGTACTTCTTTGAGGTTTGAAAGTAGGTCTGACAGAAAATTCCTCATGACAAGTTAGTAGCCTGGTAAATGGACTGCTATCTTTAAGTCTCCAGATAGGGAAGAATGTAGGAAGACCTTTAAATATACTTTTGGATATTTGAGGCCAGACTAGGTCAACAAGTGGCCAAACCCTTTGACAGTCAGATAATGATGAGAGACGCTAAATGCAGTTCAGTGCTAAAAGCCAACCAGTTCTTAACAACACTGTCAGCCGATATAAATTCTGTTCAAGAAACAAGGAAATAAAAAAAAATTCCCACTCAATCTAATATAGGTAATTATCACATCACGTCTTAATTTACTTACAAAGCAGAATGGTGCACACTAAACATAAGAGTTCACTTGAAATAAGAATAAATCAGAGATGTTTGGGATTAACTGGATGTAGTGAGTGCAAAATGAAACAGGACAACAAAGGACTTGAAGGAAGACACCATGAAATTGAATTTAGTAATGATATGGACACATAAATGAAGCAAACACAACAATGAACTTGGTAGACACAAACTGGAAAATATGGAAGATGGAGACCAAAAACAAAGCAGTTACATGGACTGTAAGCTAAGGTCTGAGATGGGAATAATGTACAGTTAATGGAATACAAGAACTAGGAAGCCATGAAAATGGGAAAACCTCATTATGAGAACACTGATGACATTTTATTTGTAAAATCAAAATCTACAAATTCACTGAAATGACAAACAATTGTGTGTACAAAGATACTTATTCTGTGGAGCAGATTCTTCACTTTTAAAATGAAACAATGGAAATGAAAACAAATCACCATCAATAATCATCTCTGCAAGACAGAATTAAATTATCTGAAAACATCCCAAATCAAGAAAATGACTAACAAAGATGATATGCAGTTATCCAGTTCGCAAAGGAAAATGCTGTTTCTAAGTTTTGATATCTACAACAAAGGGTCATAATTCTTCGATTCGATCACCTTACCCAGTCACTCAGAAGATACAAACAGCCAACTAACACACACAATTTCTTTCTCTCACACAATCATCCAAGAATAACATCAGCACACAAGTCTGTATGAGATGTAGCGGCCAGCTGTTTCTGATGGTCGGATAATTTTCACAACCTGCAAAATTTGAAAACCATGTTACCGCCAATGATACACAAAAAATAATAAGGGTTGACCATCCTTTGCTGGATTCATAATCCACACCAGGCATGATACAGTATAGATTTCTTACAACACAGAGAAAATAGTTCTACTTCCACTCCAGAGAAACAGATATCATTCTCACAGAATTATATGCTACAAAACAAAATAAGATTGAACAGTTTTGAACTGAATATGACAGACCATATAAGACACAAGTTGATTAATCAGCACTGAAGAACACAATATAAAAGATATGTCAACAATTAAAATATTAACCAAAACAGGGAAAGGATTTAGGAAGATCTCTATAGACTGATGAATTATAAAATTTGCAGCTGGAACAGACCAAGGAATTGTGAAGAAGATGTATCATAGGAGGGCAGGATGTGGGTAGATAAATGAATGGAGTGATTTTTTACAACATAAGAAGCAAGTTACATCAAAATAACATGAAAGAAGACAAAGCCATCAAGAAAGAGTAAACAACAAACACAGACTCGAAATCATTCTAAAGACAGCAGTAATGTGGAAAACGCTCAGTGGTGAAAATAAGTGGAAAAGAAAAGAAAAGTAGGTAAATCTGTCTACCTGGGAAAGATGGTGGAGAAAGATGGCAAGATCCAAAATAAGATAAGTCATAATAACAGATACTGGAGTTCCAAAAATCCCCATGATATTCAAGAAGTTCCTTGGCATGACCTTAAAGTCAGAGGTTGATGTGCAGTGAGTACACACAAAATCACAGCCTTTGTTTTCCAAAGAAACAATAAATTCTGACCACTGCATTCAACTAAGTCTGACATCACTCTTCAGGGAATTACTAGAACATGTGCAGAGAATGCCATGGCCCACACAACAAATTTCCCAATGAATGCACTAGAAGAGGTATTTGGTGAACAGTTGATAACTTGCAGATTGTGGCCTTCTAAATCTCCAGATGTGAATCTGTGCAATATTTATTTGTGGGGGAATTTATCTGAACAACTCAGATACTTTGAAAGAACTTTAACATAACAGTCAAAGAGACATTACCTCTTTGATGATTCAAAAAATACTTTCAGAGGGTTTATGACATGATTACAAGCAGGAGGGCAGTACTTTGAGAGTCATCTACAAAATAAGATAAGATGATTTGTAGGGGAGAAATAAACTCTAAATACATGTTGGACAAAAGCTTCCTGTGTGATAATCCATTCACAACAGCTTCAGTGCTCAGGTACACAACACACCTACCACCCTGTAGCTCTTAAGTCTAGGCACCACATCATGAAGCAAACAAAGGATATGGAAGTGAATCTCTAGATGGGAATGAATGACTAGTTCTATGCTCTGCAGCTAAGCCTGTAGGGAGACAGATCCCAATAACCTTATAAAATAAGGAAAGAGGCTACAATTGTGATAAACAATGACCACTGTCACGTTTAATGTAATAAATACTTATATGAATTGCCAGGAGCTATATGGATGCTACTTAACAGGCTGAACTAAACCACTGTTTGGTATTCTCAAAGATGAAATAGCACATGTCACATAAAATTGTTTTCTACACTATGCTCGTTGTTAAACACACAGAAATTATCTCTACAGCACAACAAGACCTCAAGCTACAAACAATGTGTTATTCTTGGTATAATGAGTGGGACACGATACAATCTTGATTCTTTTCTGAAATAATAACCCCTCCCATCTTTAATAACATCTAATATACCATTTCAGTACTTCTACAGCCACACCATTCATTTTACAGCTGCTACTAAGACCAGTAACCAGCTTCTCAATATGAAGGCATAGGTTCATTTCTAGGGGTCTTCATGTTAGACAAAATACATTAGGCCAGAGTTCCCTCAGAGTACTTTGGTTTTCCTCTGCCAATCATAATGTCATCAACAGTCCATACTCATCTACCACTACCTTCTCTTCATCAGGGGCAGCAGTACCAAGGGGTTTGGTGTAGCTCCACGCATATCAAGAACACTATCATTTTTTTACCCCACCTGAATTATTACGGAATGCAATGCAATGGAAAACAATCTAAGTTAAATGTGGCCATACAAGATTTTTCCTCTGGATTCATTAATTTACCACCATGACAACAATATTTTTAACATAACATACAAACCAAGGAAACTATGGTCTAGAGTCCTCAGTGAAAAATTTGCATTTATTAAGCTGTATAAAATCTTTATTGCTGTAAAATTACAGCATTGGATTCTATCCACATGCAATTTCCCTAAACCAATTTTAAAATATCAATTCTTTTCAAATGGAAAAGTTCAATACAAATACTGTGGAACTATTTCTGGCTGAATTATATCCAACTATCTCAAATCACAATATAAATAAACTACCTTCCTTTTAAATTTAAATTTTCCTTAACCCATTTGCTTTTCAACCTAAAGCTTCCTAATAATCCTTGCAGCTTCTTGTTTGCTGCCACTTCAAACACTGGTTACATCAAACCAAACCACACACAAATAACACGGCAAATTAAAATTAATAAAACAGCATAGTAACAGAAACCAAGAACATGTTATATTAGTTGATGCGTGATCCATTATCTACAAGCATTCAACAACGAATTCTTATTTTACCTGGCCCCGGCGAAGGCCAAAATAGCGACAGATTGGATCGCTGGTTTGAATTCGTGGTAGATGATTCTCTTTGAGGTTGCTTTAAAAGTTAAGGGTAAACAAAGTACAGTTAACAAAATTACATTATAAAACTCTATGAATAATCTCAATTAAGGCTTAACTGTGGTAGGGACAAGAGCAATGAATGTCAATAGAATCTGACCTACCAATCAATGAACTACACTGTATACAAAATGAAAACAACATTAAATGGACATGACATGTAGTAGAGTACTACTTCTGTAAACAGAAAACATGAGGTGAGCAAAACAAAAACCATGACAGAAGCCTTCTCAGTCCACACAGTTGTGGTAGCAGACTTGTATTTGGAAGATACACAGTTTGAAATTCAGCTACACTATCCTAAATGAAATTTCCTATAGTTTTTTCTATTTCTTCAAGGAATACCAGGGCAGTTCCTTCAAATAAACCTCAGCCATACCCTTCCAGACTACACCTACTCACCACTGATAATTTTTATATTTTATCTAACGAGACATCATCTGTACTTGAAATAGCATGACACAATTCACGATTCTAATATTGCTTACAAACTCAGACTAGCTAAAAGTGGGGTAAAAAAACACTCAAATGTAATGAAAATGTGGCTGCATCCAAGGCCCAACATGTCAGACTCAAACATTTAAAGGCCACCTAAAAATTAAGTGGCCTACCATACCAGGAGACTGTGCATTTAAATAGTGAAGCAAAGGGCGAACATTGTAATATCTGTTTCAGTGTTTAGAGACACAGCTTCCGTCGCCTTAAGTCAAAATCTTAAAAATAAAACTTGGTACTTTACATACCTGACCTCTCTTGAGACCAAAGTATCTGGCAACAGGATCTCCTGCCTGGATTCTCATCAGCTGGTTCTCCCTTAGTTTACTTAGCAGGGTTAAGGACACAACACACAGCAGCAGTCAGTTAGTGAGATAGAGGCTCACAGTTACAGCCTAATGGTTTAGTAAAATACTGGGAGAAGTTTCTTTGGCCTAGTGATAAGAACCAGAATCATTCAACAGGCCCTCAGAGCAGATACCATTTATTCTCAAATGAAGATGTCTCACACACAACAAATCATTTCAACACAACATGTCCAAATACAACACTTCCATGATGAGTGGCAAAAAAGGATGCATACTGTTACTTTGTGAATAAACTCAGAAAATTTCCCAAACATCAGTACTGCCAACCGTTTCCCACAATCTAGTCATGAAAAGTGCTTCTGCATTGTACTGTCCTAGTGAGTGAAATCCTTTCCTACTTGTATTTACTTTACTTGCCCCAGAATTCTACAAGAATCCCACCGAGTGTCAGAAGGGAATGCGTTTTTGAATGATACTGTTCATCATACAATTTGTGACTGCCGAGATTTCAGGTTCTCACAGCACTGAATGTGAAGATAACCCTCTTCTGATATGTTGCACCATGCAGTTACACAGAAACTAACTGATGTTTCAGAGGTGCTTACTGCCTCCATCATCAGGGCAACAAGTTCAATTTGTGGTGTTAAGAACATGTAAAGAATAACACAAAACAATAGCTGTCCTGTGTTAAGCACAATTAAATGAAGACATGCAATGGGTATAAAGGTAAAACTGCATGCATTCCAGCTACTAGCATTGACAAGTTATCAGCTTCATGTTGTGGATGTCTGGATATAATGCGGAAGAAACTAACTACCTTTACCATGAATAAAACTGTACTTGTTTCGTCCATAGCAAGCCACTTCAATGAACAAGCTATCCAAGTTCACCTTTGTGATAATAGTTACTTCTCATCAACATATTTCTGGCATTATAACGGAAAGTATTCGTTACAGACACCATGCACACATATTATCTATTCCGAGTTTTAGTGAGATACATCTCCGCTGTCATGCAATAATAATCACGAACATAATCAGCAGCAGAGTACCAATAACTACGCAATTCTGAAACCACACATCAATATACTTACATCTGTTCACAATGGGAATTTCTCCACTACAAATACATCAGTCACTAATGGTACGTCCTTTAAATTTAACAACAAACAGATAGGTGAAATGAGCAAATGATTTTTCCTTTCTCACACAGATAATAAGTTCTCACAAATAAAGTGAAATATCAAGCCATAGTTTCCTTAGGGGCACTGGATTTGAACAGTTAACTTAGAAAACTGAACTGCTGAAACTATTGCCATCAGATCACTCAAATGAAACTCTGTGACAGAAAACATTAAACAAGGATCTGCTTGTACTATATCAATTCAAATAGTACAAGCAGAAAACAAATCTGAGAGAAATATATTCAGGCGATACGATGTTCCAGACGTTTGACTCCCATGTGAATAACAAACATCTACTACATCAAAATTCTTCTCACATCAAAAAATATGGTGGTACAAAAAGAATAACATTGTGGGGTGGTTTAGCAGAAGGGGAAGAGATTTTCTTCACAGAGGAAGTGAAATCTCCACATTTTCTGAGGTATTAGATCCATTGGTCACACCAGAGTAGTGTACCTTCGTAAGTGCTGTCTTCATATACATTACAGGACCAAACCAACAAAGCTGCAAGATGAACAACGAGAGTCAGTGTTATCTCGATAAAGGATACTATCTAGATAACAGCTCCTGCTTCTCTTCAGGGGTCATGACAACATGTTCTGGCACCAGCTCATGCTCAGTGATGTTGATCAATAACTCTGATTCCAGGAACTGTTCAAGGATATATTTAGGGGCCATGTCCACCAGTGACTGCAACATAAACATCAATACAATGAAAAGGTAGAATAAGAACAAAGGTGCCTACACACATGACATGAAGACATGGGGAGGGCATGAAGGTAGTGAGGTTATGTATGACTATATGACAGCCTAACAAACCAGGGTATCTTAGTCAGTACAGTGTCTGACTATGAACTGAACAAACAAGGTTCAATACACAGCAGGGGTAAAGGATTTTTCTTACAGTCTCTACAGCCAGGGTGTGACACTGACCAATCACCCCAATCCAGTGCCAAACTCAAGAATGAGTAGGAGCCATATGTCCTCTCTATGCAAGCACCTCCACGGTGTTTAATAGGATGGCTACAATTAGCTACAGTGCAGATATCTTGCACCTTATCTAGTTAATACAATCCAATACAGTGCTCAGTCAAAACATCAAATTTTACTTAAAATATAAGTTTCTCGAGGGCTTATAGCATGGGGACTGCAGAGAAAGTGGTGGGTTTGTGTTACCTGCTTGGCTGATGGGGTCATGCCCTGCTGCACCACAATGATGGCTCGGTGAATGTTTTCCTCCTGCATTCTCTGACAGTAGGTCTTGATGGTCTTAATTCCAATCTTTGGCTCATCAGGGAAGAACACAAACATCTGATCTGAAAAACAAGAGAAATCAGTCAACTGACTCTGTATTGTTTATTTATTAATTTGACAAATCACTAATCTATTAAGGGTGGTATATCATCAATATTATAGTTGCTAACCATGCAGAACACATGGGGAGACAATAAATTCATACAGAATTTTGGTGGGGAAATATCCTGGAATGAACTACTTAAAAGACTTTGGAAGAAGATGTAAGGTAAAATGAACTAGTTCAAGAGAAGTTTCAATGGTGTGCTTTGTAAACATGGAGATTAACTTCTGGCATTATCAAAGCACTTGCCTGATGGGAATAAAGAACATCATGAAGAACCTCTGTCAGGAGAGCTAGTCTGTAGGCTGAGATCAAAATTCAGAATACAGATGTAGAAGTTCTAACAATTCCACCAAAATATATGGTAACTGAATTGTTACAGAAAAAATGAAGTACTACACAATACACAAAACTGTTAAAATCTGCAGTAATATCTTCAATCAAGATTTCTGGCACAACAGTTGTTCATATTGGAGAGTCAAATCAAAGACTAAAGCCTGTATAAATAATAATGGAATGGCTCAATACCCACAACAATTCTGTGTTATGAGGGTTGACATCTGTCTACTATAGCTGGATATACAGTCCATAAAGATACAAGTTTAAACTCACCAGTGGGATCATCATTATGAGCCACAAGCACGATCAAGTCACTTCTTGCCGGCCTCTTCTCACTAAAATGAAGCAAATGACAACTGTTTAACTATCAAGATTCCTTGTGAAGTCCATCAAATATGTAATTACAGGGAAGACAGGAATGACAAGTACAAACCACTGAAGACGGCCGTCTTCTGGGTGATTGCGCAATGCCTCCATCATCAGTGCTCTGATGGTGGATGCAGCAAGGACCTCTGAAATGTTGGTGACCTTCTACCAGACCACATGGCGCAACCACCCAGAAGACAGCCATCTTCAGACTCACAGCCATGAAAACCTCAAATCTTACTAAGTACAAATCACTACTAGTTTCTCTGCATTTAGAATTAAACAATTTCCCACTGAAATTCTTCTGCTTAAAGTGTCAAAACAGTCATACAGCACCATATGGTGAAATAGAACTGAAACTACTTAATCAACATAACAGCTTATAACATAACCTGCCAATAAATCTAATTTGTTACAGAGGAATAAATGTTATCTCAGTAATACTACTCAAATGTCTGATGATGAACAATATAACAATGCAAGAGAAAAAAACTCTAAAATAATTTCCAATATCCCATTCAAAATAACTGTACTATTCTAATTTAAAAGACAGCAGGATGTACCTTGGTTTATCTCCAAATTGCTCTTTAAACTGTTCCAATGTCTGATCCAATTCATCCTGCGTCACCAAGTAACCACGGTCATGACATAACTGCAACAAAATAAATTGCTGAATGTGTTTTTATGTTCAAAGGAATATGTTATCACATTCAACTACAACAGAGAAAACTATAGGAAATATTTAGCTCCAAACATGGTAAGCATGGGTAAATAGCTCATAATCAATAGAAATTGTAGCTAAATTTCTGAGGCTTCAAAATCACGTGGGCACCCTAATGAAGAAATGTACTAATATATTGTTAAATTCAAAATGAATTTGGAATGAAGTGTGCAGAACAGATGGCTATAACTTATTCCAAGGAACAAACCCTTAGAACTTAGTTGTAGGAGTATGTGATAAGCAGCTGTGACTAGTTCAAATCTGTTGCTGTTAAGTGGTTAAATACTATGGCAAGCTTTACTAAAAACTGAAATGCCAGTTTTTTCCCCAGAATCCAACAGTTTGGGCCTATGAAGGATCTATGGGGTGTAAATACATTCTATTCTAATCTATTGTAACATGTGACCCATATACCTGAGACAGATCCCATTGTTCTGCAAAATTCCAGAGATCTAATAAGCCAAACAAAACCCTAAGGAGTTAAAAAAGTGGAGCTAGCAGCAAGACTAAGTACCAGGCTGCACAAGAAATGACACCTAAGCGTGGTGACTGAATGGTTAAAAAATTCTATAATGATTTAAATTATCTTTTAAACCGTAACTTTATACCGTAATTCTTGCTATTTCAAACGTACAGCGCAAAATCTTCTTTTAAAAGACAAAAATTAGAAATGCACTAAAAAATATAAAGTCCGAATGGACAGATCAATGAAGAACTATTTTATAACTTCGTGGTATATTAAGATTATTTTATCCTGCACACAAATATCGCGACAGGAATGCTTGAACCAATTTGGAAGTTAACACCAAAGTCCTTTATGTTCTGTGTTGCATGAAGAAATAAACCCATTGCTAGTAGGATTTAAATGTTAAACCTAATCTAGTAAAACAAAATCCACCTCTACATGAATATAGATCACAATACCTGCATTACAGTCTTCCTAATTCTCCAAAGCTTATACGTTTCTGCTTCGTCATCCATTCTTTTTTATCACTAATACAAAACAGCACAGTATCCCGCTTTATTTTGTTTTCATGCGCACACAAATACGAAATATATATTACGCCTCGTGATCGTCAGTTTCCTTTCAACCTAACCTAAACATATTGCCAACTATTACACCATATTCCCTTCATATTAAAAAATTTTCTTTGAATTTACTGGTTTACCAGCAATTCCAAAAATTGTATGCTTTGTTCATCAAATTCCACTAAATAAAATATTGTACGTTTATAGACTGTGTACAATTTAACACAGTTCAAAATGGTTACTTCTATGTTGAAATTCTGGATGTTCTGAGAAGCAGAACTCTCATTAACAATAAAGATACATTAGATTCTGCTGATTAAATGAAATACAAATATCACTATTTTTGGCCTCTTGGAGCCAGACTTGTGCTATGTTTCCACAAAAACTAAAATCATATTAGGTAAATACAAATCTTGGGAAAAATATGTAAACAATTATTTAGCGTTAAGCAATATAAGAAAACCTGGTCCAGTAACTTTTTTGCCATACAAAATCAATGAAATGAGTAATTTCAATGCCTGCATCTACTGACAAAGCAGTTGATGACCTCAACCTCCTGCTCTAACAAGGCTTTTAAAGTTGCAATGGTAAATGCTTCTCATATTTTGCATAGTTCAAAAAGTTTATGGTTATCAGATTTTGAATGCAAAACACAAACACCCAAATGTAAATCTCTGTAATGTATATATTGCAGATCAAGCTGCTTTACATATGGGAAAAGAGGCACAACTATCGTTTGCAGTAAAGACTTTGATAAATAAAAAAATACATATATGAAATACTTAAAGACACTATTCACCTGGCAAACAAAACAAATTATAAATACTAATAAATGTCCGTGGTCTCCAGTGTTGTGACGTCACCTACAAGACCACATGGCATCAGAACTAGAAAACCATGACAAACATCTTCACCACCCTGAAACATAGTGTACTGTAGTATAAACGGTCTGAGAACCCACTTACTACAGAAGTGTCACTGTTACCATCACACTGTGCAAAAGCATGAAAAATTAAAACATCAAACTGAAATGTTTCTGACCCCATACATACAAATAAAGTTTTTTTTATCAAGACTACATACATAGCACAGCAGTGTTGTGTTGTACTGTATGGCAGTGTATTCCAGCTAACTAACAATATAAGAGCAATGGAAACAGCTATAGTACTGAAACATGATGGGACCATTATCACATCATCTGCTGTAAGTGATACCAAGCAGCTTAGCAAATCTGTGCTTTATATTTGGCTCAAATGAAAATGAAATATGCTGCGTAAGAAAGATAACCTTCACTAAAAAAAATATTTGTCTTTTTGTATTACCTACTATTACTACCACTACTTAATTTTTCCAATACCACAGCAACAATTCCGAAAGACAAGCTGTAAGCATTCATGTGGGATCAAATACAATATTTATGGGTCATAAGTTACATATCACTTTTAATCTCACATGATATGCACCCCATACAATCCAAATGTAGATAACCAATGCCCAAAATATTGCTGCATGCTTATCAGAGCATGTATTCACATAAAATCACTAAATACATGGCAAGACTAACAATGTTATGGCAATACAATGAAGGAAGATTAGAAGGAATAGACACATAACATGCCTATGAAGTTCTTAAAAATTTAAAGTGTAGAAACCTCATGAGGAAGGGCCACTTTGGAGGACTAGACATAGAGCAATCTTAAAACTAATCTTCTAGGATACTGGATGTACTGTTGTAGTACGGATTCAACTCTTTCAGGAATACTTTTGTTGTGTCAATGAAAAATGTTTGGACTCCATTATTCATATATCACATATCAAAAATTGTACACATAACAAAATTCTAGATTTTATTTTATATTAAACAGGTATGATAGGTTTTGGGGAGGCTGATACCCAGGAAATTCAGGTGAGAAAATTACGTGGGAAGAGAGAAATTGGGTAAACACTAAACAGAGAGATTTGAACATTAAAAACAATCTCAGGAGCTGTGAAATGATATGTCCAAGTATAGGACCTACAGGAACTTTATTTGTTTGGGATAGTGATTAACATTTAAGTCCCACAGTTTTGGGAGTAATTTACAAGTTTCACATACTATTTGGAACAAGTTCTTTACATTTATTAAATCTGCAGATGTACAACTACTTTACTTTGCTAGAATACAATAAGAAGTGAAACCAACTTACTGCAAATGGAATTAAATAAAATCAACAATTTGCTTGGTCTACAGTTCAAGACTTCAGAGTATTATTTACGTAGAACATTCAATTCTAAGACAAATGAACTAAACACTGAGTGTGGAGTGAAAACTATGATTTCAGAAAACTACAACTTCATTATTTCTATGATTCTGTGCTGATTACTTAAAAAATAAATTTTATGTAAACAGTACCAATCCTAACTGACATGTGAATACAATATCTGCAAATTATACTCATAACAGTTAAGCCACATGATAATTCACCTTGCTGAAGCAAGAATGTTGATACAATGACCTCTGCACTGTACTTAAACACTGCTATCCGATCAGTTTCAAAATTCCTGCCACAGCTTTCAAGTTACATTTCTATACTGTTCAACCTCCAAGGATTTTTACCAGTACTTCTCCAAGTTTGACACCAATTTCTGTAAAATAATAACATGTTATTAGTTACAACTTCATATTTATGAAAAACCTCAGAAAAGTACTCCTTTATCACCAGAACACTTATTTTTGTGCATTTAGACAAAATATTTCTACATGCTCCTTTCTGATTCAACACTCACTATCACTTCAGAATCCACCATCGTCTTAAAAACAAAACAAACATCCTAAGGATTCCCACAGACATGATTAAAACTTTACAAACTTGTACAGAACTTTGAAGAAAGGCCTTCACCATAATCACATATCAACAATTTACAATGAACTCCATTAGAGTTATCGTGGTATACACATTACATAATTCTTGCCTAATGCTTTTACGCAGCAACTAAAGCAGTGTCATGTGTATTGGTCTACACTGAGATTAAAATTTGTCTTTATTAAATGAGAAGAAAAGTGTAAAGTTTTCTGTCGGGATGGAACAATGCTATGGCATACTGAAGGTACATTAATTTCAAGACAAACACATTAGAAAGAAAATTAACAAAATACAGAATAAGATGGTATGGACATGTTTAACTACAGAAGAAGAGAGAATAACAAATAAGGTTTTGAACAAGAGAGCCTAAGAAAAAGGCCAAACAGACAGAAATGAAGATGAGAACAATTTGTTAAAAAATACTTAGCACAGAAGGAAGGAAGAACACTGGAAAAAACTGAGGAGCTGGGAAGAGAGATGGAGTAGCTTGGTTATGAGATGAACCACATACAGAAATATTTTTGTAAGAAAAGGAAGAGAAGAATGGAACCACTTATGACTAACAGTTAAAGACTTAGTGAAGTGATAAACGTGGTTGCTGAAACTAAAGAAATTAAATATACTCACAGCGGGATCAACATTAGGACCATGCCTCTCAACGGGCTGTCCATTCTTGTCAATTATGAACTTGGTGAAGTTCCACTTAATGAAGCTGCAAAATAAAAACAAAACCATGTCACTCACATTACAGTCTGTTCAATCTTATGCCAATTTTCATATAATGTAACTAATCTTTATACCAGAAACAATGAGATGTATGCAACACACGACGAGGAAACAAAAAAGGGAATAATAAAATTCTAGTTGGAAAACCCACAGAACACTAATGTGAATGGGCAGTGACATGTTACCAAGTACATCTTTCAGACAAGGATGCAAAGTGAATATGACTTATTTCATGACCAGGTGAAAGGAGATACAGAAAGAACACTATTAGCCTGGAAAGACAAAGTTGAAATACACATAAAATGGCTTTGTGTGGTTATGACTTGTAAAAATGTAAGTGTGAACACACAATAATGTTTGCTACTACATACTTCTGGTATTCAAGTACATTTTAAAACTCATATTTACTCACTCTCCCAGAGTCCCGCCTTGCTTGTACTTCAGATACTTCCACAGTGGATGTGAATTGTTTCCATTGACATCAATCTTCTCAAACAAATCAAACTTTGCATTCTTAGATTTGGCAAAACAGACAATCTCTTCTGAATTTCCTGGTTCCTACAACATATGACACAACCCTCAGACAAATATTTAAACTGGACAGTTAAGAAACCAAATCAGTGTAGGTGATTCAACTTATTACATACAAACAAAAATTCTATTAATTTAACCATATTCAACAAATACTAAAAGTGAGTAGAAAGAGTGCTTTATATGTTGCTAATAACAATTTTTATTAGCATAAAAAGTGTCTTTGGGGGGAGGGGGAAAAAGTTACATTAAAAAATATCCATGTTCCTGACACAACCACATCACAATGAAACCAGTTAGTTTTTTCTTCAAACATTCCACAGACTTAAACTTATTCTTTAGTAACATGATATTTCAATATTCAACATAACATCCTGATGTTACATTTTAAAACCCTACCCTTTGTGGACATGCTGCATACTAAAATTTTCTCCTGGAGCAAACATCACTGGGACACTTAATAGCAAATAGCATAGATAAAAACTGAAGAGTACTAGACAGCAACAGCACATAACAGAACTATTAGTATCTACTGTGCAGCTCATCAATTCTGCTCCTGTATGCTACCGGTATTTCAGTTGGCCTTACCTGGCTATTGAACTGGTTACAAGGAAAAGCTAAAATACGGAGACCTTTGGAATCAGCATAATTGTCATGAAGCTCTGCTAACTCCTTGTAATTTGTAGCAGTAAGACCACACTTTGAGGCCACATTCACAATAATTGCCGCATGACCCCTGCAACAGATAGTTTTAATTATTTTACTAACTTGTACTATATCATACATTTTAAATTGACTGATGCATTTCCTTTCCAAAAGTCGACACAGTGAAAGCATACAAATTTCATAGCCCTCAGACAGGTGATAATAGCTTGTGTATCAATTCAGGACATTTAGTTATTTTGTATGGATGTGAGATGTAGTCTCTTACTTCATGGGAACATAAATTATAAGCACAAGATTTCAGGTTGTCATACATTTGTAAAGATGTCAGTGTTCTTCTGGGTTGTAATGCCAAGTAAACTTGAGCCCTGAATATGGAAACAGTATGTTTCCCTGAAACATGGGTATCTACCTACAAGTCACACAGTGTTATAACCCATAACAATAGCTTCAACATAAATTATTATGTGTCACAAAACAAAGCATTCAGGAAAAATATTAGGGCCTAAAAGAGATGAAATGATGAATTCAACACATAACATGGATTTTTCTTTTGTCACTTGAGAGCATAAAATTTGTTTCTGGGATAATGGTCAGTTGGGAGACCAAGCACATTGGAGAATAATATTAAGATGAATCTGGATGGAGAACAGGTTGTGAGAGACAGATGGAAATAGCTCAGAAATGTCTAATGGTAGACCCTGATATTAGTGGCATTCAAATTTCAAAATACCACTAGACAGAAAGTGAAAAATTAAGAAGTGTACACTTGAATTATAACCTACTTATATTTTTCCAGGGACACATCTTGTCCATTTATATCTTTTACAGTGAAATCGTAAATGGATGAAGCATTCTTCCAATCTTCCGGAGTTGATGCCTGAAACGATTAAAAGATAAAATTAAATCAAAGCTAAACAAACTAATTCCATGGAGCACAGTCCTTCTTGAGGAGTTGACAGTTCCTCATCTAATGTTAACAAGAACTCTCCACTAAACCCCATCCTCAGCTACATAAATAACACTCTCATCATACTTTCTCAAAAACATCGTAATACGAGTATTATCATTAAAACAAAAACTGCATTTAAACTAGAAATTACAGGAGATCAGCACCACATAGGGCACCAGAAAAAGATTAATAATATGCCTTTGTATGGACCGAGAAGTAAAATGTATTCAAGTAAGATTACTCTCATCAAAACAATGTAATTAAACTCATTTTTCTTGGACAAATTTGTTTTGCATGTAATTTATTTGACTGATGATGGTGGTGGTAATGGCAATGAATCTGGAAGCTTATTGTAATCATTTAAAAAGTATTTAGATGACAACATATCTCATAAACACTCCAGCACGGAACTGTAAAAGATAGCCATTCTAGGAACACCACATATCATGAAGAGGATATTAATGTGGCACTTAATTTCAAATTTATTTTCCAGAAGGTACTAAATAATAAGCCTCAGGTACAGAGTTTTCCCCCTGGCTCACAGACACGAAGTCCATCAATACTGTGGTGTCTATGTGCCTGCTGTACAAGCTTGTGACTCTGAGAGTGAAGAGTATGGAGTACTGGTAAAATCATGATTGATATGGAAAGTTGCACTGGGAGAAATGCCTGCCCCATTTCCATCTTGTCCACCACAAAGCCCATCAACTGCCCTGTGACTGAACACTGGCTTCCAGGATGTGAAAGAGGTAATTTACTATGTGAGCTGTGGCACAGTCTTCCATGATAGTAAGCTTACTTGTTTGGAATGACTGGATGACCAACTTGTAAATAAAATAATTTATGGACAATGGAAGAACATCTTCCAAATGAAACAAATCACTTAAATAATAGGTACTTCTGAAATTTATATTCTTAGAGGACTATTTGAAATTCATAATAACTTCCTTGACTGACAAAAACCAAACATAATGATATCTTTTTTTGCAGGCAATACAAATGCAAAAACCTTATGTTACAGTCTTTTATTTTGTCTACCACAGTCTCATACACTCAAATCCCTTCTGCTTTTTAAGGAATTACTTTCGTGCAATAACAGTAATTTCAGTTCATCAAAATAAAGTTTATCTGTTATTTTCAAGCCTTCAACCCCAAAGGAACAGCAGCAGCCTGTATATACAAAATTTAACAGTGTAGCACTCACCATGACTGGAGATGTACGTGTAGACAGGAGTCGCAGTGCACAGAGAGCAGTTCCAAATAACTGCAATCCTGGAACCAGCATTTTGAAATAAAGACCACTTGCCTATTGTACGCGGGCACAAAATTACACCCTACGGGGAAAAAAAACCTGTTTCCATGTATGTAATTACTGTTAATCATTATTAGAAAAAACTTCACAGCAACTAGCGACATAATAATTCAAAGACAAATGCAGGTTTAGAAAAGCTAAGAGTAAGGCATTAAGGTAATGGCAAACATTTACTTTCAAATAAGCATGCCACTCTGTCAACATGGTTTCACAGTCAAGGATCCAAACAGGGAAGAGTTTTAGAAACTGGCTTATTTTACATAGTTTATGCATGCAAAAAATCAACAATCTTATCATCAGACAAAATTAAACGCTGTTATCTTCTGCATAACATTATTCCCATAAGTACTGTAAGGACACTAAAGCAGAATCTAAAAATATATGGCAACTCCCACTTAACCAATGTAAATGGGACACAATGGTACAGAATTTCATAAATAACACTTGTTTCTCTGGGTTACATTCTTCGCTTGGAGAAACAAAGTAATAGGAATTCAGCAGAGTGTAAACCATCACTGGCATTTACTAAGAATACAAATAATTTTAAAGTATAAATAGTCATGTTTTGAAAATTGGAATCAACAATATTACAAAAATTTAAACAACACTAACCACACCAGATATTAATGGCTGTCTGAAACAGTACATTTTACTGTTTCTAAGAGTTCATTATTACTGAACTTCATGTTTTGACTGGACCAGTCATCATCAGTGTCTCAAATTGTACAGAGGTGTTTAATTTTGTAAAGCTAAAATATACTAAAATAATCTATTGATAGCAATGTTAAAATCTTTAAAATAATGGGTAGAGCATAGTGATGTCAATCGTTATGCTGCTGTTGTTTCTGTGGACTGACGGGTTGTGTTTCGTTTGCTGTGTACTGTTTCATGTTGGAAATTCTGGGATTCCCTGGAATCCCAATATTCTTGAAAACATGGAGTCTCTTGATGATAATGCAAATCGATTGAGAACTGAGGTCCCTTTCCCTGAAGACAATCCCATTGTAGCCAAAACTGACCGCTCCCTCCAACTATTGCCAAGGTTAAAAGTTTGTGCAACTTTACTACAATGCCACTTATAAACCTTCATGCTGTGGCAGTTAACTTTATACTTTTCGAATTATTAGGCTGGTATACGAACATAACCTCTACACATACATAAATACCTCTCCAAGCCGTTACTTACCTCCGATTCCAAATTATGAACAAATTCTGACCTTATGATCAACACTCTGCCAGTAAATTTCCTACTCCTCCCTTCTATATGTCAATTCAGCAAGTCATGGTGAATAATACGTAATGACGGTTTATTTTTACTTGCCTCACAGATTCACCTTCACTCTTATTCTCTGATTTTCGTCGTCTCTGGGATCATATCAGTAGTCACAAAATTTCCACTCACCAACTATTCTTTCATATGATAACCAGCAAAGCAGTCTTCGTCGCAGTGACGTAGAACCGAACGACGCAATGCATTAAAGTTTAGCCTTGTGGTGGAGGGAGAAAAGTGGAAGGAGCAGTGGTTGCTCGTGAATCGGAGCAGTGGTAGTGCTGCGCAAGGGGGAGAAATCAGAATAGTTTTTCAACACATGACAATACAAATTAATCTCCTCTTAGAAACATGGTTACATGCGGTCCTGTAGGATATCACCTCATGTTAAATTTACCAGAAAGGGAGTAGTTTACCACCGCATGTACAGAACGTAAATTCACTCACTACAAATTATAATCGCAATCCAAAGACAGCGCAATTTCGTCCGGTTATATCTCCACTTTCGTCATCGTGTCAGAATCGCAATCGGAGAAAATGTAAGCAACGAACATTTCAGTTCACCATCAAGCAAATGTGCATTGTCAATGTAACTTTTACATATTTCATATTCCTAAATGTTTATAATTGCTCCATAGCAATGGAGGAAAACTTTCTGCCAGTTTCTGGGCTTCGTCAGTTTCGAAGGTAATAATATTCATTCTTGCCACCCAAACGTAAACCAGCGTCCCAATTTTGATGCAATGGGTTTTGTTCTGGTGAGACGGCGGCATCTGAAGATAAGTGTAGAATTTTGTCTCCCAAGAACATATTCTACTTTAGTTTGTGGGCTTTGATGAGCACTTCTCTCGCAATTGGTATTCCATTCCCTTTATTGACTGTTCCAGGTTTGTTTCTTCATTTGAACATTGTGATTAAGACGCCTTATTCATTACTACAGTCCCAGCCATCTAGAAATATTATGGTTAAATACAGGCTATAAAACAGTACTGTATATATCGTAATTCCTAACGATAGTCGATAATCTAACACTAGAGCTAGGCGCTGGACCGCATCTTGCGAAAATTATCCTTAACATCAGTTGTAATACATTATCCTCGTATGCCTTTCTGCTTCATTTGTGTATATTTTTCACAAGTAAGAAGTTAGTTACAGTCTCGCGATTAGTGTTAGGAAGCAAATAAACACCTCTTTTAATATTCACTTCTGAGATTAGTCACACGTCAATAATGCGAAGGGACCCTTGAATAATCGATGCGTGTTCACATAGCAACCAAGTCTGTTATTTTCGTTAAGCAGACGAGAGTGTTTAAGCGTGTGATTTTGATATTAATTTCTACTTTTTACTGAATTTCTTACAAAAATTTGACAAATATTTATAGTTATCAGTTAAACCTAATTATGGGTGACGACGAGAGCAGTTTCAACACAGAATTGGCGAGCATTACGTAAGTTCACGAAAGCTTTGATCTTATTGTTTAGCCGAGTGAGAGGGGCACTTCATTTCGATCCTACTGAGCAGAATTGTCTCAAGTTTATCACAAAACCATAATCACAGTCGTCAGTTCGATACTGTAAACTGAAATTGAACACCGAAGGAAGCGATATTCGTCGATATTTTCTTGCAGGACTAAATAAACTAAGTCTTCGATCGGAAATCGACCCACGTAACTCCCGATAGGGAAACTTACGTTACCGCTTTGCGTGTATGCTGTCATAAGCTACTCCACAGACTAAATTCAGAAGACTAAAACCAAATAGTAGGATCATTAATCTAAAAATCAATCCCAACAGAATACTTCACTGATTCTCACTTCAAGAAAGAAAGAAATATACAGACAGTTTAGAAACAGACACCACTGATTCGTGGCTAAAGTCAGTTTCATCGAGTTCACACCATAAAACCGGTTTTTGAACACCAATTTCTATATTATCTACGTCTCGGTCTTCGAAGTAGCTGCCTTTCAAGAAATTCTTCATGCATTTGTTTATTTATCTGCCCGATCTACACGTTCTGCCCATGGTAGCTGCAACGAACAACTAAATAATTACCTAACTAGTTTTCTAATAGTTTGAAAGCAAGTTTCAATGTGAAATAGCATTAGTGAGTTCCAGCCACCGAGTTACATGCCCAGGACAATATAACGTCGTGCGTTTCAATAACATAACCTACACAAATCACCAGTTTCGACGTAACAATCCAAAAGTATACGATCCTCACTTTCTCCACCACGAAAACGTCAAATGTCACTTTTAATTTTTGTAGGCGTACTGCCTTTTTTTCACAACAATTCTTACGAGATACAAAAAAGTAGTTAAAGTGTTCCCATATGTACAGTCCATTCATATTCAGTGTAGTGGATGACTAATGCCACAAAAATAGTACCTTACCAGCTCTGTTAGGCCCAATCGACTAACAAAGACAGTATCAAACCTATGTTATGTTTAGTTTGGAGGAGGAGGTTCTGGAACTGGAACTTCTGGACAGACTGGACTCGGAGGACATATGTGAGCTCCGGAAGTATTTCTTTACAAGCGACACAACAGTCAAGAGGAAACGGCGGCCAAGTCACAAGAAGAATGCACGGGCGAAGGAACCTCAAGAGCACAGATTCGGTGGCCAGCCGCTGACCAAGAGACAGTTCGTGAGGGCCGTCGGGAAAGTGGTCGGTAGGTGTCGCACTTGCAATTAGCCTGTGCTCTGAGAACACGCGTTGCCTAGTTCATTTGATGCGATTGTACGTAACATACATTCTCTATCGAACACTACGTGAGCGGGGGTGGGCTATGTATGATTATTTTGCATATATTAGTTGTAAAAAACTTGTAGGCTTATATCTTAACAAGAAATTTCATGTTACCGACGAACTCTGTGTTCGTAGGAAATTGGTCAATGTAGATAAAGCAGGCCGATACGGGTTAAAATTAATGTTGTATTGTACTGTTTCATCAGTCTTACAGTGCAGTAAAATCCATTGGGGAGTTTCTGATGTGAAAAGAAAAGGAAAACTAAGAGACCATTCATGTACTTGTTTCTTGTCGTTTACCTTATAATACTGACATTCTAAAACACCCACAAATCTTTCTCACACTGAAATATTTCACGTATACCGAAGAAGGGATTCGGGAACCAAAGTTATGGAACTAGTACAACTCATTTGGAGATAAAAGGATGTCTAAATCGGTAGGATAACTTGGAAACATGTACCTGACAAGTTTCGCTGAGGTAGCCAAATTTAATCAGACTTAGAATGCTTAAATACGAGACACTAATAAAATCTTAAAGGAAGAGTACAATTCTGTATTCAGAGTTTAGTTCGATCTGTCGTTTGGCGTGTCATAAAGTCAATTGTACAAGGCGAGTTCTCGATGTGACGTCAAATGGAGACTAAAACATTTAACAACCAAACCGTGTAATTCAGATATAAATGATTAATTAAGACGATGGTGTATATACGGATCGTTGTCAGCAATGTTTCTGCAAGTGATCAATTTTCTGACGATTACAGTGGCCGCGCGGAGTATCGAATAGGTTTCTGACTGTCAGAACACAGGGATCGAAAAAGGTTCGAAGGGCTGGCAGAAAATTATCCTGAAGAGCCAACGCTCAGATTGGGCTAAAGCGCCTATGTGGCAATCACAGTGATCAAATTACCTGGAAGTGGAAATAATTTTAATGCTCCGGCATAGCTAATACGGCCAAGGGCATCATGACATTTCTAAACGTGATCAGTTAGATTTCTATTAGACACAAAGTAAATTAATCCAACCCCTAACCCCTTAAAAATTCCTGCTAGTACCACCCTTCCGTGTTCGGAATTGGACATCTCTTTCTCCGATCCTTTCCTGACTTCCTCGGCAACGTGACCTTCATCTCGCGCGTAATGTTTTCACAGAGATGGCTTGGAAAGGGAGGCACCGAGGCATGATCATCATTACATCCGGTATTGAGAAAAATACATCTTAAAAATTTCAGTAAAACTGTTCGAAGTTTTCGTTTATCGGTGTTATGAGGCTGCAGTAAAAACCAAACGTTCGCAACATCGCAGTGTTCATTTCTCGACACAAAAATGTTAATAGAAACTTCACACTCCTATTTAGACCTTCTAGTGAAGTGATCGTCTTTTCAGGTACATTTTTTAAAAAATTTCAGAACTGTAAATATCCCATAGATGAAGCATTACCATTCCCATGCTTCTAGCTCTTACGTAGCAGCACATACAGAAGTGGAAGGAAAAGGAAATGTTGCGAAACGAAAAACTGCTACTGGTCGATATTTAAAGAAATAATTCAAACGTCAAGAACGGAGGTCGAGTAGGAAGCTAATGGGCTTCGGAAATAAAACTCTTTTACTTTGACGCACATTGGGCCTAGTTCATTACTGCACAACAAACAAGGAAGAAATCTACTGTCGCTTTACAACTGTGTATTGTTGTAATGATATTACTTCCAGTAGACATACACTTAAATCTGTCAAGTAAATTACGGAGGAATACCGCTGATGTCACTTCCGAATAACTCGTTGTCGTGTCTTCCACAGGATACATAAAAATGTTGCACCCGCGCGGGCCGTCTAATGCGTAAGGCGTCTGCAAAATGTTCCGCATTACAAAATATCTTAGTAAGTTAATTATATTTAACACAGATGTTTTCAGAAAGCCAGTTTTATTCGCCATAGTGGACAGGAGAAACGATAAAAGATGTTGGGAGACGGAAGGCAATATGAAAGGGATCGTTATTACTGTGGCATATTTAAAGACGCTGTCAGTAGTTCTGACGTTTTGCGTCGAATGATTGCATGATTGATGGCTTGGTAAGGACAAGGAAGGAAGGATCTGAATTACGGGATTATCCTGGAATTCTCCCTTTAGGGACTAAGGAAAACAAAATGTCAGTGCAATATTTGAACCCAGGATTGATGTGGCTCAAGACTGAATACAGTAATTAACGTTTGTGGAGACGTTAATTAATGAAAGGGAATTTCTTGACCAGCTAAGTAAGGAGTAAGAATTTTCTGGTCGCTGTTGCAGGAAACACTCTGTATTCGCCGAGCGCGAGTAGCTGGTTCGAATCTGTAAACACCTCAAAGACGGGTCGAGTGTGGTGGGAGCAATTGCTGGACCACATGATCGAGAAATTAGGCAGCCGCTGTGTGGACGGCCTAGTCAACCCACTACGGCCGCAAATCGACATTGTCAATATGCCTCACTGCAAGGTGTGATGAAGTGCCCAGAATATTTATCTTAATTAAATAGACAAATTCCGAAAACGTAATTTTTCTTCTGCTGTAATGAAATCTGAGGTCCTCGCGACTAATGGAATAAACAAAATCGCAAACAAAACGTCTGTAAATCACGTTTACCACATTACAGATTATTTCCACAGTTTATAACGTCTAGAAATTTCGCTAGGTCTGCCATGCAGAATCAATCGTTCATATAGACTGCCAATACAATATGGCAGCATTATGACCATACGTGGTGTCTGCCGAAACGTCGTAATCTGAGAGATATCAATTCGCGGTTTTACTGAGTAAATGCCACACTCCCATAAGATGGTCTTTGTTTTAAGACTGGATGGACTTGAAAGTTACTGTAACTGCATTAACACAATCAGCTGATGCAGATTATGCGATTCAACAATTCCTTACCAACTGAATTGGTTATTTGATGCCAATGATTTGTGAAAATGATAATAAACCGTGAAAAATCTGAAATGAGGAGGCTGTGGATTATTGCAGATATTATCCTAGCTTTTGCTTAGTGAAACCACAAAGAAATTCTGTCAGGAGCCAATATGAAGGTCGATCTCATGCTTCAGAACTTTTAAACTCTGAAACGAGTTCGACAAGTGGTACACTCATTCTTAGCCGATTCAGGTTTTCCTGCAAAAAGTTTGTATTCATTTCTAACCTCTCCCAGTTTTAATACGCTGCAGTAAGTAACGTAACGAAGTAAAACTTGGCGTTGCCTAAAAGTGACGTGTCCGACTGCGTCACGCTTCTTGCAGAGAGAGACCATCATCAAGGTGGTGCCCATCGAGACGCAGGCGACGTTCTGCTACGCGGTGGTTAGCAAGTTCGGACGCGTCGGGGTATACGACGGCCGCCTCCAGCTCCTGGACAGCTACGTCATCGCCTTAGGCGAGGGAGATGTCCGCGAGCGTATCGGTGATGCGGACGGCGTCGGCAGGCGTCGCCGCATTACCTCAATCTGGTTGACTGACGCCGTGCATCTGCCAGATGCCAGCGTGCTGCTGCTGGCGTGTTCGGACCGGAGTCTACATATGTACGACTCTTCCACTCTGATCCATGCCCCGCTGTTCCTCATCAAGGGCATGGAACACGTACCGCTGTGCCTTTCTTACACAACAGGCAGCGGCAAGAACAGCTCTATGCTGTTCATTGGGGACAGTGCCGGCAATGTAACCACCCTGCACTTCCACCAGCCCAGTGCCTCACTCTTCCACAAAAGGCACCCAAACAAACTCGACAAGTACTACTGGGTGGTACGTCTGTGAATCACTGCTCACTAACTGTCCGTTTATCAGAATTTCTGTTGTGCCTGAACGGATTTTGACGACATTTGGTACATTGCAACACTGAAACTTGAAACTCCCTGCCTGAAACCCGAAGAATAATGGACCTCTCCCAAGCCAGCTGAATCCAATCCAGGTCTAAACTTCTATAAGAAAATGTAATTTCAACTTCACAGGCATATACATGATTTCGTCTTCCAATTGGCATTTTCTTACAGATTTCCGTATCAAAATCCTGCATGTATTTCTTTTCACCATGAGTAGTAGTAGTAGTAGTACTATACGTATGTCCCGCCTATATCAAACTTGCATTAAAAGTAAAGTACTGAATACCCCCTGCATCTAGGCAACGAGGCGAACTTATACATTTTCTAAATATCGGCTCTGAGTAGCCTCTCCGGAGCAGAGCGGGCGTAAACTGGAGGAGAAAACCATGACCATGCTCTGAATCTAAACGTCACAGACGATAGACCACAAGTAGTCACTTCATTGATGGGCTACCAAAATAGAACTTGGTAGAAAAACAGAATGTGAAGCGGGCTGGGCTGAACTAGCTCAGGATGACAACTGACAATCTGAATAACTGGACCCCGTGCAATTCGTTTTGCAGGAGCTGAACCAGCAGACGGACTACGTGAACGTGACAGTGGACGTGGGTGTGCACGGAGACGCCGTGCGACAATTGGCGCACTTCCCGGACAACGACACGGTTGTTTCCTGCAGCCACGATCCGTTCGCTACGCTTGTTATCCGCCACGTCGCAGCAAGGAAGACCCCTTACATCTTCAGACTCTCTCGCGTGGGTATCTCATGACACCGTTTCGCAGTCTTTCTCTCCGCTCCGCCACAAGAATACCGGGATTATGCCCCTAAATAGGATACTACGTAAACAATCCGCGCAGTCCATAAATCTCGGTTAAATAACCTAACCGACCACTCAATCCGAGATTATCACAGCGGTAACGAACCTCATTCGCATTCAGAAGGTGTTGGTTCTAATCCCGACTGGAGACGTACGTATATTTTGTTAAAGATGTTCGTAGTTTTCTTCAACCCGTCAATGAAAATGTCGGGGAGGTATCTTAAAACAGTCCACGACAACGCACACCTGCAATCTCTCTTATTTTCAGTTCACCATATACGCCCATAAACTGGTGATCTAATTACTTCTCATGCGATGCTAAATAAACTGTGCAGTTGGTACAGAACAACCTCTTATTACTTGCAGGTTTGGCAAAGGGAGGCCGATAGTGACTTGCAATCAAATGGTATTCGGTTCGAACCCCGGCTGGGCTAGTGCTACACCTCAATCGACAATACTTTACAGCTTCAATCCCTACGTGTTATGAAGTAACCGTTACTAACAAGTAGGGAAATCTTTTGAAAACGGCGCACTGCGAGTTCTGGGAATGGTCTTCGTCGCCTGCTTTGAGGAAATGTCCTAGCATTATCAGGAGACTGAGAAAATACACGAGAAAGTTGTCTGAACAAGGTTCCAGAATCCTAACCAGAACACTTGCGCCTGTGTGGCAGGGTGTCCGGTGTTTCCATCTGGAGCGCTGCATGCGACTGCTTGCTACGGGCAGCGACGACAATGCGACGAGGTTATGGAACCCTGTGGTCACAAAACAACCCCTAGTGACCCTGTTCGGCCACAAGACGGCCGTGGTAGACGTCCTCATTCTGCGCCACCTCAGGGCTGTCGTCAGCTACTCCCAGGACGGGGTGAGTGTCTCGGGTCAACGCAGAATAAGGAATTACCGGCAACCTTCCCGACTAAACATTTGTTGTTTAGAATTCATACTACCATTGCTACCATATGAATTGAATGAAAATCAGTTCATGCTGAATGAAGAAGCCAGCAGGTACCTTTAGTTGCACACTCCTAACAAGTACGAAAAAACGCGGTATGAATTTCTGACGTAAAGTTTGAGTCATAAAACACGTAGTATTGACTTTGCAGTATTTTGTGTTTAGAAGTAAACGTTGAATTGAGCAGAATTTAGGCTCATCTACCTCTAATTTCGTTACAGGTATATTTTACTATATGCAACTGAATCAATGGAGAGGAGCCGGCGGGTGACTCCCTGCCAGTCAACACAATCTCACCCCGTTTCCTTACGATCAGTTTTCATACTATCCTACGCCTAGGTCTTCCAAGCGGCAATTCCCCCTCAGGTTTTCAGACAAAAAATATTGTATGCATCTCTCATCTCACTCATGTGATCCACAGATGTCTCCTATCTTATCATTCTTGGTTTTATTATTCTGTACCGGCAGACAAAACGTGGTTCGTAATCTTCAACAGAGAGTCCGGGTTTCAAGACATTAGGGGGTTAGCAAAACCTCGTTCTTTGTTCAGAGAATCAGAGACCGTATGTCTGCAGGTCCTGAAGGTATGGGACACGGAGGACCACTGCTGCCTGCAAACCCTGCGCATCAGCTTCCCGTCCTTTTCCGTACTTGGGAAGGTGGTGGAGTACGGCACGCGGTCACTGTATCCCGGGCCCTCCTCTGGGGCCGCTCTGACACCCTCCGACTCCGAAGTGTGGCTGCGAGGCCAGCTGCTGGTGGCGTGCTGCGACCATGTGGCGCTCCTCAGGGTCGAGACAGCCAGAAAGAACACCACTCCACCCCCTTTACCACCACCCTCGCGCGAGCACCACGCCTCCGTACCCTCGCCTTGGACTGCGGCGGACGCGAGGGGCCTTATCACCCCGGACCTACCATCGTCACTCGAAGAATCCGACTCCAGGTAAGGGGTGTCTTATTTGCTTCTGTGCTTCTGCTCTTCGTCCTCAGTTGTTTCGTCTTCATTTATTTCTTGCTTCTTGGCAGTTCACGTGAAAGTGGCCTGAGATCCATAATTTCTTTTCTCGAATGCACCGTTTAGGCGGCGGTCCTCCCGATCATCGGAGATAACGACGACTCTAGACGCGCAAAGTCTGCGCAAGGCAGCGAGCCTGCGGGGCCTGAACATGCTAAGGGTCAAGCACGAGCGTCAACTGGAGGACAGGCGACCCCTCGTGGAGCAGTGTGCGCCTCATCTGGCCCTCCAGCTCTGGGACCTGCAGGACATCCAATTTTCGCGGGACTTGCCTCTGACACGACGCATGCACGACCGCGGCCTGGAGCTCTCCGACCCGGACAAAGTGGTTCACGCCAGATTACCTGCAGCAGCTGGCAGCAGCAGCAGCAAGGCGTCGAGTACCGTCTCCAGCATCAGGTCCAGCGTCGGTAGACAGCTGAGAGTCACCCCTCCCAGGACCACGAGGACTTAAATTCGCGATGCGCTAGATGAGATAAACTAACTGCGGCGAGGACTGCATGACGTCAGACTAACTCTAAGGATTTCACGAAGGCGAACTTCGCCTACATAAGCAAATAAATTTTAAAAAAGTTAATGGGTTTGTAGCTGTAAGAGTAACTCGCATATCCGTTATAAACACCACTCGACTGACGATGTTTAGAAAACAATCGTTGTTTATTCTCAAGAGACGTCTCCCTCCATCATGGAAAAAATTGCAGTGACTTTTCAGTACGAGACAATAAGTCACCACGGAAGTACTTTATCTGACGGTTTCCTTGCAAATTGATTACGATGAGCAGGGTAATTATAGTAATTAATAATTCTGCAATAACTGTGTGAAGTATGTAGGCCTACTGTCGATGATAATCTAAACGGAGAATGAATGAAGGCTACCGAAGCTGTCTCGGTCAATTTTAATTTAATGTCCTGAGTCTGAAGTGACTGAGGAAAATCAATTATCATGTAGAGCTGGTGGGAAAAGAATGAAGCCGATACAACATTTCGTTACAAAACTGGCCAGAGGCGTAGTCGGTTATGAAACTCTCTTTTGAAAGTTATGGAGACAGCGCAAAGATTTGGATTGTGTGATACCAGGGCTCGCCATAAAGCGAACAAGGTCTTCGACAACTCCAGCGCTGGGATCATGAGTCCGAATCCCGCTCGGGGCAATGGTCGTGTTCGTCTCTTATTGTCCTTTTGACGGATAGACCCCTAGTGGTCCTAACAAATGTCTAAAGGCTTCGTTGTTTAAAATTAATTCTGAAACAGAAGAGACTAATGTCCTAATTTGCTACAGCTGGGGAAAAAATTTTGGAATGAAGTTGCGGAGACAGAGAATCCATGAAGAAATATCAGGAAGAACAATAAAAGACTTGAATGTCATGGAAAGTTTTCACAAAGATAAGCCCATGAGTTTAACTAGGTGCTGACTTATCAATCTAATGGCCTCTGTATTCAGGTTAGACGTAGGCGAGACAAGTACTTCCTGGTACTTATTGTTTATGTTGTTCGAGTGAAATTATGCGGTCTTATCGGAATTTCCTGTGCAGTGAAAAGAAATAAATTATCCGCTTCTAAAAATTTGGCTATGAAAATGATTTGACAGTAGAAATTACACAACTGAAATAATGCGTTTGATCCCATTTGTATTTTCAGTCCGCAATGAAAGTCTTATGGAAAGTAATTTCTGTGTTTCATCTTAACAGCAAGAGTCTTCATGCACTTTTATGAAATTTCGTTCTGCAGGCGAAAGCCTAAATGAGAGGATAATAATGCACGCTGGAATTACGTAATTGGTCATTTGGATCGTGGAAACAGATGGCAGCATCACATATCAAGAAACTGAGAAAATGGGAATGTCCCGACATTATCTTGAAAAGAATTAGGAAAACCAATCACGAGAGATTTTTTTCCTGCCTATTAGTTAAGCAATCTGCAGAGTGATAGGAATTTCCATCAAACACTGGCGCAAATAAACATTTCTGAGTGCAGAACCCACGTGAAATTGACATCTCCCCTTATCTGTGCATCGACATAACGATTGCATTGTTACAAGATGGCGCGAATAAATTCGAACCACGATCCGGCAAGATTATCGTCGAAACTTCGATAAAAGTGGTGATCAGTCATGGTCCACTGGAAGTTTCCGAAGTCCCACTGCAGACACCAGGTGCCGAAGTTCGAGGTTTCACTGACGGTTAAACCGAAGAGCTCACAAGTTAAGATAACACGTACTGTGGGTAACTACAGGGCATAATCTTTGTCCTTGATGCTAGTCTATTGCTGATGCAAATCTTGAAACGAAACAACAGAGACGTTATTATCACTAACTGCGTAATCCCACTGATACAATCCTTCAAAACATCTAATGCACGTTCAATACCTTTGTTTGTTCAACCGTCTTTTCTGGGCCTAAATTCGTACGCTGTAATGCGTAGAATACTGAATGTATGCAACCACATCAGCGTAATGAAACATTTAGATTCCGAATTTATTTAAAAATCAATTAATTTTGAGACCGGAAATAAACTAGTTCATTCTTTGCATTAGTTAAGAAAACGACCTGTGACCGCGTTTGAGAAATACTCGGGCAGGGTCGCCATTAAACAATTGCCCATGACTTAATTGCTATGGTTATTTAAATAACTTTCTCAACAGCTTGGATTAAGTGCAGAGTCGAATGCTGGGATAATAAATGATAACGAATTTTGAAGATGGCGGTTGTATCTTGTCTTAAGTTAATGTCCCGAAAGTTGAGTGCAGGGACTGAGGAAAAAGGAACAATCGGAATAACCAACCTGTAGACCGATATTCAAACACTGCACGTCCCTAATAAGGCCTACAGAAACACTCGACAGAAAGTTGTTTAGCTGATGAGCTGTTGCAAAACCGTTGTCACAAAAGCCACTGTGTGCCTATTTGAGATAAATTTACATTCCCAACTTTGTCAGGAGTCAGTACACAAGGCGCAATGTTACAGACAAGCCAGAATGAATGTACCAGGTGGGGGGGACTGAAGAAATCATGAATTTTTACAGCTTCAGATCTGCTATATGATCATCTTATCTTTAGAATCAGCAGTTGTAATAATTCGTGAAAGACGCATTCAGAGGCCAGACGATTAAAACAGTTGTGTAATTTACGCGACGTTCTGAGTATTAACGGCACTTCCGTTAGCTTTTATCTGTGCCTGGCCAGCAGTTTATATATTACAGAGATTAGTCAATTACAAAATGCAAATATACACTATGCGAACAAGGCCAAAGGTAAAAGGAAATTGTATCCAGAAAATAATTTTTGAGTTACAAAGCACAACCGATTAAATATGTTTGGAATGACATTGCTCCCGCCTTTGGATATTGACTCTTTTAACACAATAACATGATAGTTATTACAAACAAGGCATCATCTTCCGCCCACTGATCAGATAAGGACAGAAATCGAGACTCTTTATTATGTGTCATTTCGTGTGAAGTGTCATAACTGGAGAAGTCCAAGGTGCTTTAAACGCTACCGGAATCGCGACGCAGAATTGTGATAACCTCGAGTACAAATCGCCGAGCAAGCAGCAAAATGGCACAGACGGCAAAAAGATGACAGCTAGGTTGCTGATGCTGCTGTTGTTGGCGGCCACCCCGGTGACCGCCATTAAGGGCAAGAACATTCTTGGGTAAGTGTCTGTCCATCTGTTCCACTGATAATAGGAATATGTTGAGCTAACGGTTGATGTTCAAGGAAATCATGAATTTCATTTTAATAAGATCAATGTAACGATTGTGCGAACTTATGAGGTGGTAGGCAACGCTAAAGCTGCTGAGTAAAGGAAACGTAATTGTGTATAATATATTGAATATCTACAATGTGTACAACATGGTGGCAGCGATGCATAAAGGAGAGGCATAGGCAGAATATTGCATCTTCCAGCAGATTTTATTTCTGAAATTACAAACTGCGGGTCAACGAAGCTATTTATTTTTAAAACATTTCGGTTCAATGCACATAATACTGATATAACTGTGATCTAGACATTCTATAAGTAACTGAAATATTTTTTATGTGATGAATAAGTAAATGAATGCAGTGCAAGTCTATCTACGACAGTAATCTGTTTTATGGGTAAAATATAAATCGTTCAAAGTTCCAACATTGAAAGATAAATAATGTTAATTAATCATTATATTAAATTGGATTTTGGAAGTTTTTTCTTTCAACTGTTGTTCCTTTTCTAAAATTCGTTTATTCAACAACGATGCTAATATGATACTGAGTCAACGAAAAGTTACAGCGATTAATTATGTCATACAGTGAGTTAATACTAAACGTCAGAAAGTGACCGAGGCCTATTTTAAGGTACAATACCTTAATCTGAATGCTTAGTCAGGATAGATGGTCTCTGGCTGACATTTGAACAGAAAACACTCAGAATTGACTGTAGCTGTCTGCATGTCAGTAATACAAAATCACATGCTGGAACTTGACACCAACAAGACGTAAATTTGCAGTAACAAAATCAGTTATGTTAAGATGTAATCTCAATTGCTTTACATAACCAATGTGACTTTGGATATTACAGAAACTGGGTCGCAGCTGGCTGTGTGATCATTCTAGTGACAGTTGCCCTGTTTCTCATCATGTGGAAGTGCATTAGCCACCTAAAGAAGCGGGATGAGAATCAAGGTAAACGCCAGTGGCAGTCTCAGTTTGGATAGTTTTGAAGATCCATGACTGCTTCCCACATTTTGAACCAAAGAATCTCTCAAGTACTATCTGGCTGCCAGATAGAACTGGCATCTGTATCTGTACGTGAAACAAAACCCTGATCTTCCAGCACATAGCCAGTCACTGTACTGCAGCATCCCTATTCACAGTGTTTGCTTCCTTGTAGATGTTTGGAGTACATCCCTGGAGAGTGATGTGGAGGTGGTTTTACCGCATGGAGACCAGCCACCTATGCAGGTCAACTCCTGGCTCTCTTCAGAAATCATGGGCCCCCCACAAGGTAAATATCCATGAAGGTCTATGATATCTCAATAAGGTATAGGTACCTTTTATTACAATCGGGAATCTTCAAACATCAGATAAAACAAACAGGCACAAAATTTTAACTTGGAACATAGGTCTACAGGTATCTCTCGATTTCCGCCGGCTCAATTTGCTCCGATTCAGAATAACGCCGATTTTGAAACCAGTAAGTCAAAAAGTGGAAAAAATATATTTTACTATTATTTATAACGTTTTACAGTGTATCTCGTACTGATTCTTATACTAAATCGTAATCCTTACGTAGCTGATTTTGAATAAAAATTATAAATGCAGTCATCTCTGCAATTACGTATGTTTCGTTAACTCGAATTTGCTCCGGTGAGATCGATGAATCGGTAAAAGCTGTTTGTGAAATGCAAACGTTTGCATATGCGAATTTGCTCTTATGAAATTTCATTTCTGGCTCTTCAAACTTTCAACGGACTAATTTAATCTCTGCAGAGGTACCGGGGTTATTTTTACTACGCGATTTTCTATAGGTCGGCGTCTTACGTGAATGCAACTATCGCATATCAGCAGAGATGACTGTACACATCAATCACATGAAAGAATCGCAGTCAATCACGGGGACCAACGAATTGCCGATTGTATGTGTACAAAATATATTTTTTAAATTCCCTTTATTTTATTTTGTAATTGCAGAGCTTTAAATGTAATGCCATTATATTACTCGTCAATGTTTGAGTGCTGGGAACGCATGTCATTGACTTCCCATTGATTTACATTATAAAAGAGTTTCAATTTACGCCGATTCAGTTTACGCCGGTTCGTCCAGGAACGCATCCCCCGGCGTAAATCGAGGGCTACCTGTATATGCCACATATCATAAATAACAAGAT